CCTAAGCTTTCCATTCAATTAACGCCATTAGAAACGGACACCAGTGACCCCAGCGCTGCCCAGAGCCACTGCCGCTCTCCGGGGATCGCGAGCTGATCACCCTTGGTTACATTTCAGCCTAGTCAAAGACAAAGCTGAAGAAGTTTTTAGGAGAACTCTTCACCTGGCACCTGCTGGGAGGCTCCTGGGCAGCTGTAACGCACCACACAAAGCCCCTGAAGGAGCAGCAGTTTCACGGCACCGACTGAGGGTTTGTGCCTCCCCCTGCCCTACCCCGACAGCGTCCACCCACCCTCAGAAGCCACTGCCCTGGACCGAACCGGGGCAGCTTTTTGTGCAGAACACCCGAGGCTTTTATGAGCTTTCAGTCGTTTCCGCTTCTCCTCTTGGAAATGAGCCCTGAAGACAGAAAATGGAAGCCCACCGGGTGGTTACCAGCCTTGGGTTTGTGTTGGGGTTTTTTATTCTGTTCAGAGGAGCAGATGTTATCCTGCACCCTCTGACAGAGCCTTTTGCCCTCAGACCATAGAGAAGGCAACGCTCCGTCGGCTCCAACCTTCCATCGCTCCTGTCCTCAGTGTTTAGCATGCAGTGCAGAGCGACAGCCGCAGACGCCCACCACCTTACCGAGCCGCACCAACAGCCTAGCCCCCCATTTCACACGTCAGTATTCATTTTAGTCCACCCTCCCAAGAAGAACAGGAGAAATAACATGTGAGAAAGCAGATAAATTATTGCAACCTTAACTACACGCAGCCATCTCCTCTGCTGTATTGATTTAGCCACAAATCAAGGGGGGAAGATGAGGAAGAAGTGAGGATGAAGAGGCAGCCGTTTCAAAACGCTGAGGTGACCCAGCACCCTCTCCTGCCACCTGCGGCCAGACCTCCAGGAAGAGGGAGACATCACACAGAAGCAGCACCTACACCTGACAGCGCGTAAAGCCCGAGCCCCTTTTTCTTACTACCAGTAGTACGCTTGCGACCTCCACGTGCTGAAACACGGCAGAACCAGGCGAGGCCAGGCGACCTGCAGCTCCAATACTTGCAGAAAGTGGAAGCTCACATGCAGCCCTCTCGTCTCTCCGCCCTCCACCACCCCGTCACACGCAGGGCAGCAGCTAGCGGCACCGCTCCCCACGCACACAAAGTGCAAAGCTACACGGGCGAGCATGCACGTCACCCTCCTGCGCCGGACATACCGCCCGCACAGCCATGGAGGTTGGAGTTGGGACAAAGAGAAACAAAAAAAAAAATTAAAATAAAAAAATCCCTTCAAGTAATTTAAACGAGCCCATTCCTGAGGCCGGAGCTGCCCGGGAGCGTGACCGGCCGGGCCTGCTCGGGGTAGTAAGGCAAGGAGCCGGCAGCCCTGGAGGGATGGAAGGATGAGAAGGTGTCAGTAGTGAAAGACCGAGAGTTAATCCGTAGGTTGCTTCTTCACGCTCCCGCGATTCCATCTCCACACGACCAGCACCAGCTGCCTCCAGTTACTTCTGCACGCAGCTTGGCCACGCGAGGCCACCGCAGGCAACCGATACGATGATGTAGAGGACAACCTGGGGAACAAAGACGGCCGCGTCAGCAGAGAATGGCACCTCCATCCTTCAGTCAATGGCTGACTTCGCCCGGCAAGCAGAAGACAAGCTTGGAAACCCCGGGTTACCAAAACCCACACAGAACCATCTGGGAAGCTTTTCCTGCTGCCCGAGAGGACAAGCTGCCTGGCATGAAGCTCCTCACCTCCCCCGGGACCACCCAAACACCTGGGTTACGGCTACAGCCCGTCCAGGCGCAGAGCTGAGTGCACGCAGGCCTGAACACAGCAATACGCCACGGGCATTTTTCAGCGGTGAAGAGCTGAAGGTTCTCGTGCTCCGTACTTACAACTGACATGATGACGAAGACGATGGTAAGCTTGAGATTCTTCATACACATGGCTCTCGCAAGGTTCCTGCTGGTAGTTTTGAAAGTGACTGACTACAAGAGATAGTAAAAAGCTCATTAATTCCTGAAGCTGCTGTGAAGGGAGCTGCATCCCACCAAGCCAGAGGAAGAGGCTCATGCTTTCCCCAGCCACCGCCTCCCCGATCACCCGAAGCAGTCCCCTCCTCCGGAGCCGTTCCACTCATTCAGGCGTCAAGAGAACGCTCTCCCGCCCTGCTTCAGGGGCAGGACGAAGCGTACGAGCACGCCCAGAACCAGCGCAGAGCAGCGCCGGGCCCACAGGCTGCCCACCGGGATTTATTCACCTCAGAGTACTTCTGGTTGGGCTCTCATCTGACTTCCAACCCTTCGGGAACTGAAGCGCTCCAAGGTATTTCCGGAGCTACAGATCCACTCCCCAACACGTTGCGTGCGACTTCATGACCGTAAATGCGCCTGTCAGCAGGAGCGGGCCCACCCTGCTGCCCGGGACAGCGGAGCCACAAGGGCTGGACAAGTCCTTTAGCTCTAGGACTTTCCTCCAGCGCTTGGGCTTGCTGCACGTCACGGGAAGCTCGCGGCTGCCCTGTCCCACATCTCCTCGCCGCATCCTGTGATTCTCCCCGCTCCAGATAGCTTTGGGTCACCAAACGCCCTCCGATGCCCACCAGGCCCCATCAGTGCAACCATTCCCACGTTTCCCCCCAGCAGCTGAGGGAGGAGACACCCGCAGCACCGCACGAAGCCAGCTCAGCAGCACGCTCTGCCGCCTGCGTTTGGGTTTTCCCCACAAACCACCCCCAGCTTTTCCAGGGAAGGCTCCGCTGGGCAGAGCCGCACCCCTACGCACTGTAATTCCGATTCACAGCCGGTTCCCGTGCTCAGCCAGCATCTGAACTTCGGGAGCGCTTCGTTTGCTCAGCTGTGCTGTTCCTCCACGTGGCAGCAGCCTGCTGGGTGCCAACACACCTCGCCCCAGCACAGTTCTCCACAGGACAGGGCTACTCTGATCACCAGCTTCTTCAGACCTCCCTCCCAAAAGGAAAAACTCCCTTGCCGCTGTTGCCAGGAGGGTTCTAACATGCTTGGTTTATGCACAATGTTCTCGTGCCCAAGGCTCACACGGGAGCGATAAAACACAGGCCACGACTCCGCAGCTTGAGAGCTCCAGCCCTGGATCTCCTCAGACACTCACTGCCGGGCTGCAAGAGACTCGCACGAGGGGCACGTCCCAGCCCTTCCCTTCCTGCGTGGTTTCCACCCTGGGAGAGCTGGGACATGAATCCAGCCTGACTGCTGAAGGAATTCCCGTCCCTTGGTCTGAAGCGTTACCTGAGGTGAGGCCACTTCTCGCCACCACCTGTGGCAGTGCTCAGGTTTGAACACCCAACAGCTGGAGGACAGATTCCCTGGCGGGTAAGCTCCAGGCTCCTCCACCGCCTCTCGAAAGCACGACTACTTTTTGCCAGCTTTGAGGTGTTTGGCTTTCCTGTCGCTCCAGATAAAGGGTGGGTTTCCCCCGCCTCGGGTACAAGAGATGAGGACAAGAAACCCCACTGCTTGCGCTGGCTGTGGCAAGCAGGAGCAAGCGGGAGATGGTTCTTGAACAGGATGGGGCAGGTTCTTGAACAGGATACGGAACAGAGACACATGGGAGAGCTTCACTCTCCGAAAAAGAGCTGCAAGGCTGGGATGCAGCTTGGGAAACAGCTCTAGGGAGCAGGGGAGTAAGACAGGACTTGTGTCTGACCCAGGGACGGATCACCAGTAGGTGCAGGTGCTTCACTGTCTGGTTAGAAGTGGCTCTAGATGCTGGTCTACACCCCCGTTGCTCCCTCACAGAATCCCAGCATGTTTGGGGTTGGCAGGGACCTCTGTGGGTCACCCAGCCCAACCCCCTGCCCAAGCAGGGTCACCCAGAGCAGGCTGCACAGCACCGCGGCCAGGCGGGGCTGGAATATCTCCAGAGAAGGAGACTCCCCAGCCTCCCTGGGCAGCCTGGGCCAGGGCTCCGTCACCCTCAGAGGGAAGAAGTTCTCCCTTGTGCAGTAACACTGTTTCCCCATTTCTTAAGCTCTTCCCCAGACTTACCGAATCCACAAGATTCTCCGTTTTATCGATCAACAACTCCAGCTTCTCTCCTCTTTGTGCCACAAGGTCTGGAGAAAGAGACAAAAATCCAAAGCTGTCAGTGGAATCCCAGTGCAGAAAGCTGCTTCCAACCCCCCAGCCCAACGACACGCCAGGAGCTCTCGGCAGCAGCTCACCAGACATCAAGCAGTCCTCAGCCTTTCAGAGACTGCCAGGCAACAGCCTCGCATCACAGGGGCTACGTTTTGGGACTGATCCCACTCAGTTTTGGTCAGTTCCAGATCTAACACTCTATTTTAAGTGGTCAGACTTGTCAAAACCCAAACCAGTCTGACACAGAAAGCGTAAGCTACCGGGGAGCGTTTTCCTCCGAGCGGCTGCGGGAAAGCCACCGCGACAAACAGACCCAACCCGGAGCACGCTTCACCCCAGCACGACCTGCACCAGTCCCTCCCGGACAGCGCTCCTCACGCCCACGTGCCGCCCTCAGCCAAGCTCAACGCGAGCAACAGCGTGCGAACGGAGACCCCCAGCCCCTTCCCCAGCTGAGAGAGGCCCCCCTGGCCACCAGCCCCGCTCCTGGCCCGGAGGAACTCTGCGCGGCGCCGAGGGAAGGCAGATACCTATGTTTCGAACCATGATTCCTTTAAGTTCATCGATTTGAGCTTGCGTCTCTGCCACCTGGTCCGTGCCCCTGCTCTCCGAGTGGTGTTTCTGTAACAAAAGAAGTCAATGAAAGCAGGGAACTCAGCGCTGCGCTTCAGTTCCTCGAGGCAAAACAAGAAACTCCGGGTCACTACAGAACAGCACAGACATAAATGTGAGTTTTCAAGTTACCCAAGACATTTACAAGCACACAGTGGACCAAAATCTGAGTTTCTTGGCCTCTTACAGGTCACACATGCCCATCTGCTCCCACACTGCAGGAGCTGGCACCTGCAACTCCCCGAGCTCGCAGAAATAACAGCCCCCTTCCAAAGTCCAAGCAATCAGCAGCAAGGAAGGAAAGTGAAGACAAGAATCTGTGAGATATGGTTCACCAAATGCCTGGGCTACTACCAGTGGTCCCACTCCACACAACATTTCTGAGCTATTTATGAGGGCAGCACACTTCCGTGACTTTCTCTACTTATCTCTACACAAACAGGCTCACCAGCCGCTGCAGAGCGGACTGAGAACCTCCTCGAGGTTCCAGCACGGCACCGACTGTGGCTGCCCCAGACACAGGCTGCATACGAGCTCTGACAGCCACCGTCCCAAGGACATCTCATCTTTATTGCAAAGGAAGTCTCAGGAGAAAACATAAAATAAATCAAACCATCCAAACCAACATTGCTCAGGTGATGAAGTTGTTTATAGTCAGTCAAGGACTCCGAAGACTCGTCAGCAGGAGGCTCCAGGCACTTTCCTTGCAGACCGTACAGCCTGAGGCTTTGTGCACAAGTCAGGCTATCGATCACACGAGTCACGGGGCAGTTATTTATTCCTTCTCTGTTTTCCACCTGACTTCAGCCATTTAATTCGACATTACCCCTAGCACCAGGCCCGTGCCTGCCCCAGGCCTGTTCTCTCTGCAGGCACTGGCCGCACGCCGCTGCAGACCAGGCAGCACGGTGAAGCGCAAACCGGCGCACGCCCACTGCATCAACAGCTCGTATCTTCAGAGCAGCCCAGTCCCACACCTAGAGCAGCTGCTCTCCGCGTTGTCTCCTCCTCTCCCCATAAAAAACCCCGCCGAGGCAGAGCAGGGTTACCCCTCACGTCAACCCTGCATTAAGGAAAAGCGCTCCGTGCAGCGTGTTCTGCAGAGGGCTGATGGGAACGCAGACGCTATGCTGTGTGCCAAAATACTCCCGAAGCTACACCCATGCTGTGAATAAAGCACACAAAGCAAGGCAGCTGCTTCAAACCTCTCCTCAAATACAACGCACAGCAAGCAACGTGCTTTTGTGAAAACGGGGTGACAGCAGCTCTGCCCACCGCAGCCCCGCGCCGCGGGCTCTGTCCCACAGCCCTTCACACATCGCCTGCAGACCCCGCCGCCATGGGCTTCGTCGCCCTTCCAGACTGGAACCATACCGGTGGAACAACTGGGCTCGCAAAGACTACGGTGCCTGCAGGCCCCGGGCTTGGAGCCCAGCACTGTCCCCAAACCACGACAGCTGCAGCTGAGCAGTGCAAGCCAAGGGTGACAGGGATATTCCCTGCAGTTTTGTAATACCCTGACACTTAAATTTTGGGGTTGGGCGGGTCCAAGGCAAATCTCAGCTCAGAGAACGTGGGACCTTTCACGAGTCATTTATCCTGCTCTTTAACCTCCAGCCTGTGTTGGGAATGGAAATCCTTGGAGCCTCTCCGTGAGCCAGCTGGAGAGTCTGCCACGGCTCTGTACACAGCACTGGGCTGCAATCCAAGCCCAGTTTTCTTTCCTCCTGAAAACGACGCGGCACCAGAAGCCAATCCCCTGTCACGCTCCAGCAGTGTGCCACTGAAACCACCCGAAGGCAGGAGGAGAGCAGCGAGAGGCACTTTGGGATTGCCAGGTACTCAGGTTCTGAAGTTTAGTTTGACAGAAGTGCAGTAACGTGCATTTGCCTTGCTGTTGGTGACAGCGATGTTAGCTTGCACGGGATGGTCACATCTAGTGACCCAGTTCACATCAGTGACACACCTAGTTCAGCTGGAACTAGGCTGGACATTTCCAGTGTCACCGTGAGGATCTCATCTCTGGGCTTGTTCAGCCTGGAGAAGACAAGGCTGAGAGGGGACCTTAGAAATGCCTCTAAATATCTGCAGGGTGGGGGTCAGGAGGACGGGGCCAGACTCTTTCCAGTGGTGCCCAGCAAGAGGACAAGGGGCAACGGGCACAAACTGAAGCAGAGGAAGCTCCAGCTGAACATGAGGAAGAACTTCTTCCCTCTGAGGGTGACGGAGCCCTGGCCCAGGCTGCCCAGGGAGGCTGTGGAGTCTCCTTCTCTGGAGATATTCAAGCCCTGCCTGGCCGCGGTGCTGTGCAGCCTGCTGTGGGTGACCCTGCTTGGGCAGGGGGTTGGGCTGGGGGACCCACAGAGGTCCCTGCCAACCCCGACCATTCTGTGATTCTGTGGAGCGGCTGCAACTGACTGGCACCCCTTGGGAGCGCAGCAGGACCAGCTGCGACTGTTGCCCCCTTCATCTCACACGCTCAGGTGATGGAGTCCTGGCACAGGCTGCCCAGGGAGGTTGTGGAGTCTCCTTCTCTGGAGATATTCAAGCCCTGCCTGGCCGCGGTGCTGTGCAGCCTGCTGTGGGTGACCCTGCTTGGGCAGGGGGTTGGGCTGGGGGACCCACAGAGGTGCCTGCCAACCCCCAACATTCTGTGATTCTGGGAGAAATCTGGCTTGCTCAGGGAACCCCATTTAGCAACAGAACTCACCAGCTGCGCCGCTAAGACACTCGAGAACTCGCTGTTCATTGCATAGGGAAGGGCCGTCTGCGCTCTCGAGCCATACGTGGTCTGAAACCTCTTCTTGATCTCATTCAGGAAGCCGAAGGCTCTGGATCGTTCGAAGTCCTGGAAGGAAGAGAGCAGACCATGTCCAGAGCTGCGTCAAGCCAGGAGTAACGCAGCGCGTGGGGCACGCGGCCAGCTGCGGAGAAACCGTAATTATCAGTTCTGAACAGGCAGCACCGCGGGATCTGCCTGGTCACCCCGGGCCAGGTTTCAGGCCCAGCTTCCTGGGCACTGGCTGCAGCAGACTCCGCCGGGGTATCCGAAGTTCCAGTTCTGTGCCTGGTACCTTCTTCCAGCGAGGGAGAAGTTTTGGCTTCAGCACTTCCAGAATTGAGGAGTATTGGGCATACTGCACCGGCAGCCAGAGGCTGGCCTCTACATCTAGACTCTGCTGCACTGGGGCTGCTAAGAGAGAAACAAGGCAAAACCAAGGACTTCACCCCAAAACTAACTATGCACATGCAGCTGAGTTCCAGGCTCAGGCTTCAAACGTGAACGAGAACACACGCAGCAGCTCCAATGGGGGAAGAAAAGGCAGCTCAGATTAGCACCCACTACTGATTTTCATTGACGTACAGATACGAAAAAAGCCAAGACCTGCCAAGAGCCTGTCTGTGCAATAGCTGTAACCAAAATACTTACGTCATCCGTGATGCAGAGGTATATAATCCTGTCTTGGCAGATGTAATGAAACAGATAGCTGCAGAGAAGAGAAAAAGAAAAAACAAAGGTCACTTGGAGCTGCCCCAGGACTAACCCTCCAGAAGACACTGCTGCCTGCGGGGCTTCACGGGCTGCAGAAGTAGGAGAGCAAATTCCAGTAACTCCACAGGAACCCACAGAGATGCCAGCACACCCCAGCCATCTTTGTGCAGGTTCAGTGTCTCCACTCCTACGAGCTACGCTCAACTAGAGGCCACCCACAAGCTTGAGAATCACCGGCCGCCCGTACTTCACAGCACTCCACGCTCAGCACTAACTCTGGGGGACATCGAGTCGCCAAACAGCTTCAGTCCCACGTTCTTCCAGCTACGTACTCGTGAAAACAAAACCCTGACAAGATGCCCAGGGGTAAGGTTTCTGTAATCAGTGTGCATTCAAGCACCCGTGCGCTAGTTCGCATGCGATGAGAGCTGCAGCTAACTGGAGTGACCAGCAAGACAAGACGTCGGGGAACCCGGCCGGCACAGTGATTTGCTTCTCCAGCCTTGCTCCTGCGACGGCTGGGTTGTGCTGCTTTCGGATTTCATTGCAAAGGCCAAGAGACCAAAGCAACCGCAGCAGAAAATGAATCGGAACGAACACTAATCAGGCTGAACAGGCTTGAGTCACGTGGCCAGGTTAGCTAGGCATGTGCCAATGCCTTCGGTGGTGCTGAGCGAACCCAGATGTTAGTTAGCTGCAAGCCTCAGCGTCTTGAAAAACAGTGCAAAACAGTTCAAAGCAATATTTTCCTATCAAAATTAAACCAAGCTGTTATTTTAGGCCCATCAGAAAAACCCCCTTAGTTTGCACACAACTAAACCCAAACCAGAACCGATCAGAGCACTCTACTTCAACCCACTGGCTTCAGCTGTTGCCCCCTCACTACCATTTGATGCTCCAGCAGGTGATGGGTTCTTCTGATGAGCACAGCGGGACATAATAGGAACAGAGCTGCAAAAAGGCCACCTGAATACTTTTTTCTTTCCCCTAATTAAAAACTCAGAGTATCCTTTCACTTTGACATTTGAGTATTCCCCCAGCTTTCCCCAGGAAGCTTGTGGATCCTCTTACAAACTCCAGAACCAAAGCAAGTTAACGCATGTGCTGCGCTGCAGTTGCCTGGTGCAGCTGAGAGCGCAGCTCAGCAGCTTTCAAACTCAGGATTTGTATTCTATAAATAAGACGATACTGAAATAAGTTTTGGGGGTGGGCTAGAAGTATCCTTTACTGCCCTGAAGGTCTGTTATTAAAAAAAAAACAAAATCCCTGCATAACCACAACTACTGCCCCTCCTTCCTGGAAGGAGAGAGGTAAAGCGTGTCGCCCCAGTGACTTGTAGCAGCACCTTAACAGCCGAGGCAGAATAACCCCAACAACTCCCGAAGCTACAGGGCTGGTTTTCCTTGGAGATCATATAAGACACAGGAGTTCTTCTTAAAAACAAAAAGAACTCATTAAATGAGTTTAAGAAGTCCAAAGAAAGTTAAAATAAACTCCATTTTTTTCCCATTTCAGAGGAGGGGAAACGATCCCAGGCAGAGAACAGGGCAATTTTCCAGCCTACAGGCTGGGACCCTGGCAAGGCAGAAGGATCCCTGAAACCCCACAGACCAAAGAACGACAACTCCTGGTGCTCACTCAGCTTCACACCTTTCACGTTCTGCCCAGTTAGCATGGCTAAGGTAAAAAAGACGTTATTCTGTGTCTCTACAAACCCAAAACCCTTGCTTTGTGACAGCAGGAAGAAGTTGCCAGCGCCAAGCATGTGTGCGTGAAAATATTCAGCCCCCCCAAACAGATGGGTGGGAACCCCTCCTTCCCCTCTGCTAGAGGGAAGGCAGGGTTGGCGGATTTTGACCGAGGAGGTGGTTGTCCAAATCACAGAAAAAAGCCAACCTACGACTTGTCAGAGGAGCGTGACTCTGCAGAGGAGACCCTCTGATGCTCAGCTCAGTGCCCAGAGCTGCAGAATGGCACCTGCATGCTTTGATAGCACAATGCAAAGCAGAGCAACCACAAACTGCAGTGATCTTCTGCCACGTCTGTTAAATCCTCGTCAAGGAAAGAGTCAGTAACGAGCAAAAGACTGCACGCTTCGCAGCGTGCTCTGCAAGTGTAGGTGCACAGTTACCTCTCCCTCAGTGCTCCCCCGCACACAGCACACCGACCTCTGCCACAATTCAAGTTTTCACCTATAAAAGTCCACTACAGCGCTCCTAAAACTCCACTCTGTAGTTGGTGGAGCAGCACTCCAGGCAAAGTTAAAACAAAAGAAAATAACCGTACCCTTCAAATTACAGTAGAAGAAAAGATCTGGCATCCCAAGTGCTTCAGAGCCCAGGACAGGCAGCTTCCTCAGAAAGCTCACCCCAGGGCCCTCCAGTGCTCCCAAGCCAGGGAAGGGTGCGGGAAAACTACCCCAATCCTGAGCTCTCGATTCCTCAGGCAGCCGAAACAGCTCTAAGGCAACAGCTTGGGCAATACCGAGAATCCAGCCACGCTGCCAATTCCAAAAAAGAGCTGAAGCGGGGTCCAACGCTTCTAAATTTGCCCTCTCCACAGTTCTCTCTTCAGTTTGCACACCAGCACACTGACGTACCTACTTGACATGTGCAACACCTCAGCAGAGTCTCGGGCAGTGTGACATCTGATCCCTCAGTGCTACCAACAGCGAGCGAGGGCTGTTCAGAGATCAAGCCTGGGAAAAGTCCTCCTGTCCCGCAGCCTGGGTTTGTGGTAGCTCAAGGTGACTCTAAACACCTGCCAGCATGACTTCTCTCAAAGACACCGGGATCCACAAGTGACCTGAGAAGGGTGATGTTTTTACCTAAAGCCACGTTCAAGCCAGCAAAAGACTCCAGAAGCCAAATACCAAAGACTCCAACAGTCTGAAACCCACAGCTGAGCACCCCCCAACTCACTCTGGAGTTGTATAAAAACAGAAAACCTGATTTTCTGTCAGCCTTGGTACTTACTGCTTAAGCTAAATTCAAATTCTGGTTCTGCTGCAAAGTTCTGGGGGGAAAAAAGTAGCTACTGAGCCGACTGCGCATTCCATCAGCACACAAACGCATCCAAATGTGAATTTGGCTCTCTCCATCTATTCCTATCCTGGTGCCTGTTCACTGTCCTCCTCCCATGCCCAGAAGAGAAGGCTTACTCACCTCCCATGTGAATAGGTCAGTTTGTTGTTCTCAGAGGGTATTTTCGCCAGGATCTGCTCCGTCACCTCCAGGAAGTTTCCTCCGCACCAGGCATGTTTGGCAAGGATGGTTGTGCCCCTCGCCACGACAGCGAAGAGGATGGCCATGACTTCAGACTACCTGGAAACAAAAACATGGCCAGAATCAGCCTCGCGTCCTCTGGCAGAGAAAGCACCATCATCTCCACAGGATTCTCAGCCCTCGAGACCGCAGGAGGGAGGCACGAGCTGGTTCAGTACTTCGACAGGATGCCGATATCGGAACGCCGCTCTCACTTCCCCTTCTGGGTGCTGTTCAGAGCGACACCAAGGCCACAACAGCCTCTAGAAGAAGGTTCATCTTACTGCAACTGCATGGGGTCCTACAGTCAGTGACACCACAAGGAATTTCTCCTACCTTGTTTCCACCTGGAGTTCTGGTTATTTGTACATATTTTTGCTCTTCAACTGATCCTTAAGGTTTTTTCGCTCGTTATTGAGAAAACTGCCTGCGGCCAGCCAGCTCCCGCTCAGAAAGGAACTGTCTCGCAGCTACGCTAAGCGCAGCTCATTATACAGACCAAGCCCACCGTGCCTAGCACATGACTGCTCGGGGTGAGACCTTGGCTCCGATCGCTATCGAACTGAAGCAGAAAATCTGCCACTTGCTTAGAGTCACGCCGGACGCGTCTCCATTTAATGCTGCAGAGATGCTGGCTGAGCGTATGTCGTCCCCGGGCTTCTGTAACAGCACATCGCCGGCATCCCGCAGAGCGAGACAGCGCATTTGCAAACCGACTGCCCTCAGCAACACACCACTCCAAGCCAACGTTCCTGCCTACGCATCAAACGGGACAGGTACAGCGCGCAGGTGTTCCAGGGCCAGACCTCTGCGAAGTCTCTAGAGTTGGAAAAACATGCCGGCTGTCATATAAAGGGACACACTTCATCAGCTCAGGTATCATCACATTAATCTCCTGACAGACCCCAGATCTAACAGGTGAAACCACACGTCAGGCCACAGCTGCGGCATCCGCTCGGCTGATCCAGCCCATCCATAAGCCTCTTTTCTGCTTAGGAAAGCCTTAGGAAGACTTCTGACCCTGCAAAACCCAAAAATCTTTTTCACTTTGCACTTGACTGCCCTCATATTGCCTGCCTTGTTTTCACAGAATCCCAGCATGGTCGGGGTTGGCAGGGACCTCTGTGGGTCACCCAGGAAGAAGTTCTTCCCCGTGTTCAGCTGGAGCTTCCTCTGCTTCAGTTTGTGCCCGTTGCCCCTTGTCCTATCGCTGGGCACCACTGGAAAGACTCTGGCCCCGTCCTCCTGACACCCACCCTTGAGATACCCGCCTGCGTTCTGGCTGGAAAGATCACACACCTCTTTCAATGCAACCAAGTAGCTTGGAGACCTCTCCAGAAACGGGCACAACCACAGAGGAGCAGGGGTTTAGCTCCAGGACGCCTGCGTTCTGGCTGGAAAGATCACACACCTCTTTCAATGCAACCAAGTAGCTTGGAGACCTCTCCAGAAACGGGCACAACCACAGAGGAGCAGGGGTTTAGCTCCAGGATCCGAAGGCCACAGGCAGGGAGGCTGAACACCGGCCGTGCCCGGCCAGCCCTCCCACCCCGCCGGCACCGACCGCAGGGACCCAGCGGTCTCCGCTGCACCGGGGGTCAGTCCTGCCACGCAGACAGATCTGCCCCGAAGAGCTTCTGCCCTCACGTCAGCTGGCACACAGAGGATCGCGGTGACAGTGGAAGCGGCGGAGGAGGAACGCAGAGCTCTTCACGAGGCTGTGAAGTCGAGACACAACCACGGCCCCACGGCATCGGGGCTCACTTTGTCAGTCTGAGACTGACAGGTTCAGGCTTGGCCAGCAACAACCACATCATCTCCCAAACCTCCCACAGGTTTAAGAGCTCAACGTTGGAGGGGAAGAAGAATAAACTCATGGATTTTTGCAGTGAACAGACTTCATGGCTAAGCTGCAACCACCTGGGAGCACTGTGGCACTTAGAGCCAGCGCTGCCGAAGGGAACAGAAAGCAAAGGATGGGGCTGACGAGGGGCCACAGCAAGCAAAGTGGGGAGCAGCACAGTGCGATGTCTCGAAGGACACCGCTTCGGAGCGGAGCACCCAGCCAAGCGCGCTCCAGAAGACCCCAGAGAGTTCCTAGTGCCAGGAAAGGGAAGGGAGAACACCCCAGAGACAGCCTCACACCAGGCAGACACAAGTTCCCAGATAAGCTGTTCTCCTTCACTCTTCCAGAGCAGTGACACAAAAGGGCATCGATAACAGCAAGGGGGAGGAAGCACCAGAGCACATGGCACCAGCTCCCCCAGACAGATTTGGTGCTTTCACTTCCTCCTGGCCTCAAGCTGGCACTCCTCCGCCCCAGACACATGCCCCTCCACGTCCGCCAAGGACAGGAGGGAAGCCCCTTGTGCTGCTTTGCATGGCTTGCTTCTCATTTACCCTGCCCCAGAGTCAGAAGACCTGTTTTCAGAACGAAGGCAACTCATTGCATTTAGAATCATACAATCAAAGGTTGGAAAAGATCTCTAAGATCATCGAGTCCAACCATCCACCCAACACCACCACGGCTACTAAACCATATCCCGAAGTGCCACATCTACACGTTTTTTGAACACCTCCATGGATGGTGACTCCACCACCTCCCTGAGCAGCCTGTTCCAATGCCTGATCACTCTTTCAGTAAAGAAATTTTTCCTAATATCCAATCTAAACCTCCCCTGACGCAACTTGAGGCCTTTGCATCTTGTCCTATCGCTAGTTACCTGGGAGAAGAGACCAACCCCCCCTCACTGCACCCTCCTGTCAGGGAGCTGTAGAGAGCAATAAGGTCCTCCCTCAGCCTCCTCTTCTCCAGCCTGAACAGCCCCAGCTCCCTCAGCCGCTCCTCATCAGACTTGTTCTCCAG